TTGTCCAGAATATCCGACGGCATGAAAAGGTGGATGGCCTTGACGTTGACGGAGGCTTTCGTGTCCCACAGCTGACGTTGCATCGCCGTCAAGTATCGACAAAGGTTGGGCATATACATATACGTGGACTGCAGTTTCCGGAATACATGCAACCGCTTCAGCAGCGTCGTACGCCGTTTCAGGAACTCAATAGTTTGTTTCTCCATTGGGTTCTTGACCGACTTCACGTCAATCACTAGATATTGCCTCGGCAACGTCAGTCAGTTCTCTCTCCATACACCGTGATAGCACTCACTGGATGAGGAAGGTGCTGGGGGTTTCCTCCCGTTCGACCTCCGTCCCTGCTCCACTCTCAAGCAACTCCTCCTTGCGAAGTTTGAGGCGGATCTCGCGCATCGTTATCACTACGTGCATCAAAGAGTCAGCAGCTGATCATTAATTGAACATGCAAGATGTGTACCTTTCTCCTTTAGCTCGAATGGTGATCCCTTCCCATCTGTGAGCTGAATCGCCTCCCACTCGTGGACTTTTCCCTTCCACTCTGTGACCATCTCTGGGGCTGCCTCCTCCAGCGCGGAATTGAATGCCTCAAAAGCATCACAATGAAGCTGGCCCTCCTTGACATTTTCCGCCATGCGTCGCGAGAAGATCCCCTGCCAAGAGACTAGCCGACACCAGTTATGGAAGGTGAAGATGTCCTCAAATGTTGCATGGCGAGCTCCCACTCCCATCATTTTTGTTGACGCTGATTGATGTGCTCAGAACCTATATAAGAAACACACAAATAACCCCACTTAACTCGAGAGCGGCACAGAAACAGTCCAGAGACTGTTCCAACAACCAACAAACAAATCAAACAGCAATATATGCACATTTCCAGAGATCCCAATGAGTTACAGCCCCTAGTACAGGGCCTTGTAAAGGTTGTAGGGAGAGGTTTCGTATCTCAAAGAGACGAAGAGCAAACTGTGTAGAACGTGTTTCTAGACACGATGGTGGAAACATTGTTTCTAGACACAATGGTGGAAACATTGTTTCCAAACAAAGTAGATTTATAGCTTCGCAGCATGTGTGTGTGTGTCCAAGCGACAGAGAAACAAGTTTAAAGTAGTCCCATAGACTCAAGTAAGGCCCCTAGTTTATAGGCCAAGAGCATTCACAGAGCTTTACCTAAAAGGTACTTTCTGAGCAGCGCACAGCAGTCACGTTTCCAAAGTTTTCCCTTGACGGTACTTTCTGAAACCCGCTCTGCAAACAACAACAATAATGTTCCTTTCAACAGAGTCCCAGTTCAAACAGATTCACAGAGTTTCTAACAGTTTCCAGGCAGAGCCCAAGTGCGTTTCCAGAATAATATATGATTCAGAAACAATTAATATTTCGACTAATAATGCTACTCTTTGAGAGTGTGTTCGTCGAGGATCCCAGATCAACCCAATGCGCAAGCCTATAGCCTACTAGTTTGGGGGAAGATGCTGTTTCCATCGTAGAAACACCCTCAGATACTTGTACAACCGCCAAGACACAATTACAAAGCCCAAAACACAATCCCAATGAGTCAAATGTCCGTTTATCCGCCTCTTTAACCGTGTTTCCGTTGGTTGTTCTTCTGAGTGTCGCCTCCCATTGGTTCCCCACTGTGAGCACACCATCTTCCCTTGCCCATTACGAGGCAGGAACCCATCAGCAGCACCCCTGTATTATTCAGAGGGTGTGTTGATCACCGATAGATCGGCACTGCACTCATTCAACCTGTTTCTGCTTCAACTCAACTCTCCCCTTGGTTCCAAGTGCAGAACTTGATAATACTTCTTTGTAGGTCTCGGTAGATACCCGTTTCTCCAGGGTTTCCCAGAAAGGGTTCTTGAGAAAGAACATTGGAACACCTTTAGAGTTGTGATCCAGATCCTCAGAATGGCCGACCACCTGTTTCGGTGTATCCGTATTCAATGGAAACCGGCAACTCCAGCAACCAAAACACTTGTGACCAAGCACATATCCCTTAGCATCTCAACACAGCACAACACATTGCCCAACTCCCATTCCTTTGACCCGTTTCCGTTGCTTAAGTGGATGGTGGAAACAAGTCAAAAGAAGTTCCTTGACTTATTAATTGGCTACACATTTCCCTTACGGTTTTCAGGGTGAGACTAGCCAATAGACGTTCTAATTCCTTAGGACTTCCACCTGTTTCTCTGTGGTTCGCCCCAACAGCTACCAGGAACCAGTACTGTTGCATAGAAACAACAGTTTCAGCAATGAGCACAATCAGAAACACACAAAATTATGTGTATCTAACTATAGCCCAATTACTGGCTTATCAATGCCGCAGCCCCATTTGAGAACTCCCAGTTCTGTTCCACCGTCTCACCATGTGTGCGCCCCACTCCCCACATGTAGTGGAAAGAGAAGGGGGAATGGCAAGCAGGGATATGAGGCGGAAGGTGGAAATTGGGGGACCTCGAACCAGACCCACACATGGTCGATTACAAGTCACATCGCGCTCGGCAATGCCTCCATATGTTGAAACAGCATAACATAAATGCACGGCATCTAGGGCTAATTTTGCGATTTCCTATGACCAGTATTTATACAACGGGAAGCAACTAGCACTTCTGTTGTTACTAGCATCCTAGCTAGCATGCAGACCACTTGTTAGGTGATATAAAGGAGAGTCAGAGCGAGCCCTAACTGCTGACTGTAGCATGAGGCTACACTAGTGTGACGCGCTAGCTGCTAGCTGAGTGTACAAACAACCAGGGATTAAACCACCGCCTATACATTCATGAGACATGACCTAGGAGACTCTAGTAGTCCAGAGATGACTTGCGACGGAGCTAGTGAGGGTCTAGTAGATGGATATCTACGATGGAAGTGCAGCTAGGGGACTACTCCTTGAGCTAGGAAGCTCGGCACGATAACCAGTGGTACTATCTAATCTCTAGATAAGCAACTAGACGGCGATAGGCAGGACAAACCGACTAGCGACCGGCTAGGGCTTTGACAAAGACATACCACAACATAGGAGATGAAGCAACACGAGGTTAGTGCCTGATCTGGGCAGCTAGGGCAAAGGGAATAGCAAGCAGGCTATTGGAACGGAGCTAGGGACGATTGTACAGGCTTGTACCGATGACCGGAGGTCTGATCGACGTTCTGACCAACGATGAAACACCGTAACAAGAGCACGCGGCATCTAGTGCTATTTTGTGATTTCCTAGGACCAGTATTTATACAATGGGAAAGTGCTAGCACTTCTGAAGTATTATTGCTAGCACTCAGGACTCTGGCTAGGTGATATAAAGGAGAACTGGAGTGAGCCCAAGTTGCCGGTTGTAGCATCAGATATGACTAGGGTGATGCGCTAGTACGGTCTGGAGGCACAAACCACAGGGAAATAACCATAAGCCTACACAGTCAAGGTGCTAGCACCTAGGAAGTGAGACACAGGGGAGTGGGACTGCGAGTACGCTAGCAGGCGGTGTGAGCGGCGAGTCTGGAGTCTGAAGGATAGTAAACTATGTGCTAGCAGCCTTCTAGCAAGGGTGTTAGTATGCGGTACCCTACTAGTGATTGACCCGAGACCTGAAACACAGAATGCAAGCATGTGACTGTCGTGACGCGGTCACAAGTCACAAACAGAGACAAGTAGACAGTAGAGGAATAGCTAGCAGGCTATTGGTGCGGATGCGTGGGTCACCACAAATGCAGTAACGGATAAACAGACTGCTAGCCGGTGCTCTGACCTGTGCTAGATGACTCCAGGTGGCGGATTCAACTCCGTTTTGTCAGGATAGAGGTTCCAGCAGCATGCGGCAGGCTGAGGAATCACTCACGATACCCATAAATGGATGCTAGCGGATCAGTGTGACTGTTCTGCTTGGCATAGACCCATCATAAAACCAAACAGCTGTGGTTTCATTGGCTATTGTATCCATCACATCATTTTCACTCATTTATATTTATTCATTCTGTTTATCACATGTACCATGGACCTCTAGTAGTATAAAGGGAGTGCAGAGCAGGCTAGAACCTCAGATTATTACACCCCAACTTTGTACAAAGTTGGTGCAGGTGGTCTCAGGTTGCTAGTGGAGATTGTAACACACTTCACAAGTAGTAGCTTTATTGGAATCAATACTGTTGACTCTGGACACGTCAAGATCTTAAGTTGAGGTTCTAAGTTGTTGACTCGAGGAGTCTTCACGTATAAAACCAAGGGTGTTCTCTTTGAGAACCAGCTAGCAGTTGTGCTAGCAGCTTTGCCTTCACCCCAATATTGTCGTAGTGTGTTGCATCACCTGCTAGGTGATTGTGTGTTTGACTCAAGCCCACTAAGAAGAAGAGGGACTAGGTGCCCCCACCTCTAGACCGACTGTAACTTGTCAGTTACTTCGCCTTCACCCCGATATTGACGGAAGTGCTGTCGTAGTGTGTTGGGTCGCTAGCTGGATGCTTATAGTGTTTATTGCCAATACAAAGTGGAAATGTTCCTGTTCTTGGTTAAGGAATAGGTCAGCGGCTTAAGGACTGCCTTGTTGCTTGCGGATTGAAGTCCCTTGTTGTTAGCCTCAATAGTCTTTGGGTATCCCATTGCGAGGATTTTCACAAACCTACATACTCTGCCCTGGTGCCCTCAATCTAGCGATCCAGCCACCTTGTATCCAACCCATAAACCCCTGCCCATCCCAGGTGCTAGTGGTATTGTTGTTGGCAGCTGTGCAGTGCTAGCGTGTTGTTGAACAGCTTTGTTGAATTCTAGCAGTTGAATTGTGTTTGTTCCAAACCCGCTGGTCACATACTACAGCCCGGACCTGAACTCACAAAGAGAAACACTTACATCTTTGGAGGAATAGATTGTTGTAGTGGTGGTTTTGTGGTTGTTTTGTGCAAGCCCGAATCTAAGCTATTTCTAGTTGTATATCAAGTGCACTGTTTCAATGGCAAAGGGGAATATTTTGGGACTGGAAGCAGCAAAAAAAACAGTTTGGCAGAGACCATGCATTAAGGGGGAATCAAACCCCCAGGCGGGTCGAGCATGTCACCTTGTAGTGTATGGCAACAACCCAGGTTACCACTACCCCATTAATGCTACTGCGGTTGTGGTGGTCCCGTGGTACAGTAGTGAGAATATACATAGGTGCAGAAGGAAAAAAATACCTTGGGATCAAAAACGACACCTGAGCGGCAAAGGGGAATGTTGAGACTGGCAGCAGCAAAAACAAAACCATCCAAATTGTATGCATTGAGGGGGAATCAACCCCCCAGCGGGTCGAGCATTCATGTTCTGGTTCCCTATGGCAACAACCCAGGTTACCACTACCCCATTAATGCTACAGTTACTCCAAATAAGTGACCGGTCATGTAATTCCAGCAGCTTTAACTGTTTATAGGAGATCAGGAAACAAACGAAAATTGTGCAGAGAGGTAGATAGAGGTATATTACATTGCTAGTACTTTGTGTGTCCACCATTGAACACGATAAAAGTATCAACAATTCTTGGCATTCTATCAATCACAATGTCAGTGTCTCCTGATAGAATTGCATCCTATGCCTCGAATATTGCCTGCTGCAGCTCTAGATAATTTGTAGGCTGGATGGGACAGGCATGGATGTGCTCCTTGAGCACTAACTAGACCAGCTCAATGGGGCCGACATCTGGAGAGGACAGGGAATGGTGGAAAGTTGGAATGCTATGAGCCATCAACCATTCAGACATGGCCTTGGCACAATGAGCAGATGCACTGTCTTGCTGAAACAAGAGATTAGGCACCCTCTCCTGCATCTCTAGGAAGAATGGTAGAAGTGCAGGTTCCAGAACCTGCTCACAATACATCAGGTGGGGCCAGATGGATGACCGGTCACTTATTTGGAGTAACTGTACTGCAGTTCTGGTGGTCTCGTGGTACAGTAATGAGAATACACATAGGCAGATTAAGGAGGAAATAAATACCTGGGGATCAAAACAACATGAGGCGGCAAAGGGGAATGTTGGGACTTGCAGCAGCAAAAAGCATTTTTTTGACCATCTTATGCATTAAGGGGTAATCAAACCCCCGGCAGGTCAAGATATTGACATCACAACAGCAGTATATGGCAATGACCCAGGTTACCACTACCCCATTAATGCTACTACAGTTTTGGGGGTCTCATGGTACAGTAATGAGAATACACATAGGCACAGAAGGACAAAATTAAATATCTTGGGATCAAAACGACACCTGAGGCGGCAAAGGGGAATGAATATTGGGACTGGCAGCAGCAAAAACAAAATGATCCAGATCACATGCATTAAGGGGGAATTGAACCTCGAGACATTGCGTGTAGCACTATTAAATGGCAACGACCCAGGTTATAGGCTCGAATCCAGCCTGTCGTATCGAAATCTTTGTGTCGATAGACAGGCTGGTCGATCGGAGTTTGAATTCCCAATACGCGTAAATTGTCCTAAAAGGCTATTAGATAAGCCAGCATGATTTGGCCTTCGGTGGGGAGAATTAAATGTATGAGCAATGGTGAACAGAAAGAAAGGCATAATTAAGGCCACTGGGCATTTTCTCTGGCCATTTTGCCTGGACTGAGGACTGCGTACCATCTCTCAGTTCGTGTTGCCACTGTTTATATCAAATGTTATCGGCCCGGCTTCACCAAAAGATCGCTTACAAATAGCATTTTTGGGATAATTTACGCGTATTGAGAATTCAAACTCCGATCGACCGGTCTGTCTATCGACACACTTCAGCCTACAGTTTCGATACGACAGACGGTCTCCGGTCTACCCAGGTTACCACTACCCCATTAATGCTACTACAGTTTTAGGGGTCTCACAGTACAGTAATGAGAATACACATAGGCACAGAAGGACAAAATTAAATATCTTGGGATCAAAACGACACCTAAGCGGCAAAGGGGAATGAATATTGGGACTGGCAGCAGCAAAAACGAAACCACGCAATACACATGCATTTTTCCGTGCGACCGTTTCGATTTGGCTTCGGTTCACGCATTTCGGATTCAGATCACAGGGCAAACACTGCTGTACATCTGGTTGACTTTCACTATTTTTCCAACTTGTTCCCACTCACTCGAGATTTTACACTGCCCCGCCACGACGAAATAAATGAGCTTTTGTGAGCATGGAGGCTGCCTTCATGCCTATCTATAGTAACCTCAGCCGAGTCCCGGACCGATTCTAGATCTGATTTGAGCGCCCAAATGGATGGATGTCCTGGGATGTCATCCTGAGACAATTCTAAACACAACATCAGACCCTGGCGCCTACGATGAATACTGGAATGGAATACAAGACCAGCCTAGAAATGTGAACAATCCTATTGATCCCCATCGGACATCTACCTATTGCTACTCCTCTGACCCGTCAAATAACACGGACAAAATCGAAGCCGTATCCCTATTATCTTAGGAAGGCTTCCAACCTCATCCGCAATGTAGCAATGTCGCCGACTTCGAAGCCGACTTCGAACAGATCATCACAAGTTACCTTGAATAGGCCCCCAACCGTTACGAATCCGTGGTGGTAAAGGCGTTCGCGGAGGCCATTATTGATTTCAAAGTAGGCCAACGGCGTTGGCGGGGCCCTCCGAGCATTCTCATCGACGTCCACAAGCAACTCGGAAAAGGTGGAACCCTGACCTGTCCCACCCCTGCCGCCGAATAAACCACCAAATCCACCTAGACCACCGATGCCCCCTGGACCAGATCATAAGCAGGCTTTTACAATTGGCATCAAACACCTTACCAAAGATTTTGCTGAACTGGGGTGTACTTCCTACCCAAATCTTAGATGCTTCACCGAGACCGCCTTCTCCGCCCCTGTGACTACCCTCTCCACCTTTTCCCCCTATGCCTCCTGTAATTCTTCTTTTTGAGATGAGGTCTGTACACAGAATGTATGCAGGCGTACCAAAAAGCCAGGGCCCTCCTGAGTTCCTTTGTGCAGCGTAACCGAAGAAAGAGGGTAGCATTTCTATTGAAATATTAGATGCATCACAACCGCACAAAAAATATGCATGCGCACTCAAGATCCAGGTCAAAAGTGTGACTCCTCCGTATACATTCTGAGCCCTATCGGAGGCCTCGGTTTTGCTACCAGTTCCACCCTTGCCACCAGTCCCCCCTTGAAGTAGAACCGGTAAGTTCATGCATCATAATAGGATGGAACGGCTTACCCTCAATTTTTGTAAACCAACGAAAAAGCCCCGGTGAAACGACCGGATCCTCACCAATCCCACCCTCGCCGCCAATATGACGACTCCATCCACCCTGCCCTCCTAAGCCTCCTAAGAAACATTGAATTTGAGGTTATGGCCGGACAGAGCAAGATTGCAGGCGCACCGTAGAGCTCGGTTGTGCCCACGTGTATTTCTTGTACTTCTTTACCCGCCATTTTTTTCAACGCCCACCTCAATTCAGCGATATGTCCAACTTTAAATTCACCAGTGTGTGGGTTGGTGTTCAGTTGGGTGTCGTATACGTGCAGCAGGGCACCCGGACACTGGAAACCTTTGCGCTGGAGTAGATCGAGGATGTTTTCACCAAGGCGGTACTCTTCGGAAAAATCCTCCATTTTCATCATCAGCTCTGGAATTTTGTTGTTTGATCGCGGTTTGATAGTTATGAGTGGCCGTGGAATTCTCAAGCCTTGGCCCTTTCCGCCCTTGCCACCTATGCCCTCTGCTATGTGTTTAGTACCAGCAGACATACTCGGCTGAGATATATTACCATTAGCATTGTCGGTGCCGTTCTGCCCAGGAGTTTCTGCTGGGCCTATTAGTATATACCAGATGATTTACCGGGCGAGCATGATACTTCCCGTTCATGATGACTCGCAGTGCCATTGAAGTTCTGCTTCAGTGTTTTGGGGGATGGCTCGGGTGTTGGCTATAAGGTCTGCGTCGATTGGAGTCGAGGTGAGTGGATGAAGTATATGCTAAAGAAACTCGTAACAACTCTGTGTCTACTTAAATACTACAGTAAGTAAGATGTGTATCAAGTGCCCTTGTGTCTAAAAAGCTGACTACATTGTAATCTAAGAATGGGTCTCAAATAACTGGCCGAAACTGAACAATGTCCGCAGTGCGGGTGACCTTAAATGCTGGATCCGTGGTATTCGGATCTGGACAGCAGCAATATACGTTACAATGACATGCCATGATAAGCCATTAATAGAGCTCTCTGGTAACCAATGCAAAATGAATTTAGTTTGAAAAACGGCTAGAGAAATGCGAAAAGCTGGCTCCACCTTGGCTCTACATTCCACTGGTGTTGTGTCTCTGGTACTCCTCCCTCTGGGTCGAAAGCCCGCGCAGGCAGCTCAAGGCTGTCCTGTTAACCATCCCAGTCAAAAAAACGGCGACCGCAGCGACCGCGGTTCGCAAGAAACTGGTACGACAAGGTTCCTGCTTGAAGATTAAACTATGGAGGAAAGGCTGGCATCATGAAAAACGGTGCTCCACTTGATACAGAAAAATGCATTTTACATCGGTTGCCAAAGAGCTCTAATATAGTCGTGGAAGCATCCTAAGAATATGGTGATGGGACTGCAGAAAAACGATGGTCCAATGTCATCGTGCACATTGGACGTGTGCATGCGTGCATGCGTAGTCTTCAGTCTTGATAGGGCCCTCACTGTCAACGACCGCCGACAGGACTGTATGTTGGAATTCCGAGTCCTACGCTCGCTATCTCCGACGCCGCAGCCTGGCGCGGCAAGGCAACAACTTATCTGCTATGCTGAGGTCCTGCATTTGTCGTGTTCAACTTCGTATTTTATACCCTTGTGCCTTACATATGTTCCAGTTGTTCTAATTCTCTCCCTTTGTTAGTTATATTGGTTCCTGACGAGTTGTGTATATCACCTAGTAGTTTTCGAATGAATCCCCTGCCACGTGTTTGCGAGGGTCTTCTGCTATTCCCGAGTAAAGGCCGCAGCTACCTTTATTTCAACACTATACTGTCATTCATGATCACCGCACAAACTGTACATGCGCTGAAATAATTGACAGATCTGGTAGGCAGTACTATACTATTTCGACCGAATGTTCATAAGGTGTCACGCGTCACCTATCATATTTCTAAGTGTTCATTGCTCGGCAATCATGAGAAAATCACCATAAATGGCAGTCCGGCATTTGCCGGACTGAAAATTGACCTTTTTGGGCTAAGTACTTGAGTGCCAAGAACCCAATGTCACTGTCACTAGGACCTGTATTCAGTTCAGAGTCCCACATCACCTGAACACTTGGTCGACATAGAACAGTAGTGCAAAGAAGAAGTTTTGTTTGAAGTATCGCTATCCGCTCTTCACAGGTCC